ACAGCTTTTCTTTGTTTCCATGTTTGTGTGTATATTATTTAAAAGCATGATACAAGTCAAAATTGAAATCGAAAGTCGTCTTCATTTTATTAATAAAATCGCCTACCACCGTAAATAAAACGGAATTAAAAAAAATATTTCAACTCACCCATAGCACAGTAGTTGCAGAGCCATTGTTTCATCGGTATAATTATCTCTCCCTGGCATCATTATCATTCAAAACAAATAAAAAACAAAATACGTTTTATTCAAGTATGAAAGTTCGGAAATAAAAAGATTATGACGATTTAACCCTATTCCTGCTGGGGGGGGGGCAATTTGACACCCCCCTGTAGGGGGATTTAGAGGACCCCCCCCCCTCCACCCCAGCATATCCTGGTTTTCAAGTACCCCAGCAGAGATAGGGTTAAATTCCAAAAGAATACATTTTTCTCTAAGAGGTGGGAGGCATAATTGGTATATGCAATGAGTGTTCCAAAAAACTTAACTTTTTCAAATTCTAAAAATTATCTACTGAAATAGTTTTCATAATGATTCCTTTGATTGATGTATAGAGGCCAGAATAACCATAAAGAATAAGGACTCCATTTTTATATTTTCTTTTCTGACCCTTTCTTTTACTTTGATCGGCTCTGAATAGCTCCGGCTAGTAAAGTTGACATTACATTATTTTGTTGCTTTTTAATATCGAAACTTTTTTGTATTTTAAACTTTAACAGGAACAATTCTTTCTTCTAGAAAAATGTTTGAGGATTTTCCAGCTTCACTTCCAGGATTCATGTCTTTCTGAAATTGAAACAAAATGCAAATCAATATTTAAACAAAAAAAGGTAATTTACTTTGAAGTAAAAACTTTGTGATACATCTTTAACAGATCATCTCTGTAACTATATTGCCCTCAGAAACATCATTAAGCTATTAGAGTAGCCAATGTTGTGTTCCCTATACCAATTCTTTTAAATCTATTCTAGAGTTTTGGTTTTAAAAACTGTTGATCCGCGATAAGTGATATCGTTTAGGATTACTGTTATGGATGGTTGATGGCAATTTTTGAAAGGGAGTGACTGGCTAGACATGGTATTTGAACGGAGAGTGCAGTATTGTAAACACACTTTTTAGTATTCATTTGAGTTCTATAACGGAGGTTTTCACGGTGTATAATTGCTGAAGAAGAGTAGAAGTTCTATTTTTGAAATCTTCCTGAGCCGGTGATTTAAGAAATTCAAGAAAATACGACTAAGGTCTAAGCTGTTGTTTAGCCTTATTTGCGGCTTGGGCTTCCGGATTTAAGTTGCTATAGTTTTCAACAGAGTTTAGTTCATAAAACCGATTTAATATTCTATTTGGCGGATTTTCATAGTTGGAATTTGCGCATTCCGGGTTTTGATGAGAATAAGACCCAACATTGAGCCTTATTCTCCACTAAAACCAACCAAGGTATAGGTTTTATTTTCATTGGGCCTAACTCCTTCAGTCGAGCCGTAGATCTCGCAGCTATCAATCACGTGACACAAGCTGTCGTCTGACTTGGGTCTTAAAACTGCGTTTAAGGAATTAAGACTGGAGCCAAAGCGTTTAAATCGCGGGCTCAGGATTGTGTATTTGTGAGACTTGATTTTGAAAATTGATCTCTTTAAAAATTATCTAATAACGAAAAATCTAACAAAATTATCCAGTAGATTAAAGATATTTAGAGAAATATTTTTATCAACAGAAATTATCGATAAAAGCCATGAGTATAATAGATGAGTTAAAGGAATTGAGTCTTTACCACAAAATCTGATTTTCTAATCACTATATCTTTGGAACCAAATGTTAGATATTTCAAACAGCTTATTTAACAGCTTATTTTCTATAGTGAGAGTACATTTTATATACTATGTCTAAATAGAGTCTAGTACAATCAGGGAGTAAGAAATAGAAGATACAACTGACGCGATTCGCCCTACCATATGATTATGCATGCTTTGCAGACAGGTACTCCGTTTATATAAGAAATATTCAGAATAGGTTATTGTATACGCGGTAATTTACATCAGACATATATTTCTTATACAAATGGAGCACCCGTCTGCAAAGCATGTATAATCTTATGGTAGGGCGAACCGCGTCAGTTGTATCTTCTATTTCTTACTCCCTGAGTACAATAGATGGGAATTCGTAGAATTTGTACACTCTCAGTACAGCTGTATTCTGACGTCACAAGTGTCAATTCAGTTTTGTGCCCGACAAAGTAATTATAAATAGTGATAATTTAAAAATAAAGTGCTTATCTTCCTGTAAAATAAGTAATAATAAATAAAATTGTCTAACAGAAATATTTAAAGTTTTTATTTGGAGGCCAAGAAAACACTTGTCCTTGAATTTAGCAAAACAACAGTTTTGTGTGGACTCCAAATTAAATCAATAAATCACAAAAAAAAACAATAATCAAGCAATTTTAAGAGAAAAGAAAATGTCCACTTGCCAGAAACTCTAAAATCCTAAACCCAAAATCTTTGCAACCTCTGGGTGTAAAACTTTGATATTTTAAACATTAACATCTGGATCAAAAAATATCAAAATTGCAAAATTCGAAATTGAAATTTTTTGAAAGTGTACAGCTATACTTTTTTTTCGGTAGATTAAGGGGTTAAAAAATAGAGGATGACAGACATACGCAATCTTTTAAATTATACAAAAATATTCAATTTACTTAAATAATATTTGCAATTCTTTTAAAATAATCTTTAAATCGGAATAAACATATTGATTGCAATAGAGAAAGTTCAATCAATGAGATCCATTAAAATGTAGAATAGGAAGACGACTTGTATTGGTCTGATTAGTAGGAAGCACTGCAATTATTCACTTAATTTGTTGAATTTCAAGTTTCTGATACAACTATTTGCATTAAAGCAGCATTGAAATCACACAAGTTTCTGATACAACTATTTGCATTAAAGCAGCATTGAAATCACAAAAGTTTGCTCAAATATCGTCTTCATATACTACAGTTTAATGGGTCCCGCTGTAGTAAACTAGTTTTGACCACGTTTGTTCTGAATTGTTGATATCAAACTTGTTTACATCTACTGTTTATATCTACTGTTTATATCTACTGTTGATATCAAACTTGTTTATATCTACTGTTTAGCGTGTAACTATGTTTCTGAAGTGTAGAATGCGGTGTATCTAGAATATCCTGGTTACCATGGTATCTACGGGGGGCTGGGTTTAGCTGCTTTCTACACTAATACATCAGGTTATAGTGTCATGATACTGGCAATATTGGTGTATATCTATCTTTTCCGGACTCGCAGCACAGAGTAATACGAAATAGAAAAGTGTGGCAAATGGGGGTGATGGCAATTTTTGAAAGGGAGTGACTGGCTAGACANCAAGGAAAGGAAAAGAAAATGAAAAGTGGGAAATTCGAACGCAAAATTTAGTCATACATATTTTTTAAGTTTTAAGAAATAGTTTTTTAAACCCGGAATTTGTAAAACATATCTCTGCTGATGTTATCTACAAGTTGTTTTTAAAAATAATCATACTGTGGAAGACGATGCCTGGCCGCGTTAAACTAGTTCCACAAGATTCAACAGAATGAGATAGAACGGATACGGGGCATTAGTACTGATATGATCTCTACAGTCTACACATGCGATATCGATATTGACTCTAGTTCTGAACACTCTAATAATAAGTTATAAGAAATATATATACTGGAAGTTATTTATGCGTTTTATTAGAGTCTGACTCACGTCCTCTATAATACATTATAATCATTCTTAAACAATGTTAATTGACGACTTCTCTTTGTTTACAGGTTTATGGTAGAAATAAAAATAGAAATAGAAGGTGTCTTAATTGTATTGAAATACATATCAACCACTAGGTATTATATCAATTTTATATCGAATGTTTGCCATTTGATCTTGCTGAATTCTTAGTTAGTAAGATAAGAAAATTAGAGTTTATTCTGTTACAATAATATAAAATATATATAAAAATCTGCATCCGGTTTTCATAATTTAAATCCGGTTTTCATAATTTTAATCCGGTTTTCATAATTTGAATCCGATTTTCACAATCTGAATCCATTTTTCACAATCTGAGTCCGTTTTTCACAATCTGAATCCGGTTTTCACAATCTGAATCCGGGTTTCACAATCTGAATCCGGTTTAGCCGGTTTTCACAATTTGAATGCGGTTTTCATAATCTGAATCCGGTTTTCACAATATGAATTCGGTTTTCACAATTTGAATCCGGTTTTCACATTATGAATCCGGTTTTCGCCGTAAAAACTTAGAGTTTTAAGAATCACTAATTCTTAAACCTTTAACATGATTTTAATATGTACTGGGAAACATATTATAATCTATGATTGTATGCTTCTAAAAGAAAACACATATTGATCTACACATTTGTGCAGATCACCTATTGATCTACACATTTGTGCAGATCACATATTGATTTACACATTTGTGCAGATCACAAATTGATCTACACATTTGTGCAGATCACATATTGATCTACACATTTGTGCAGATTACCTATTGATCTACACATTTGTGCAGATCACATATGGATCTACACATTTGTGTAGGTCACTTATTGATCTACACAAATAAAATATCTGAAATATAAAATGAAATCAACCATATGTAACAACGTACAACATTGAAATGATAACACATGTGTTATGTTATAAAAATTCTGAACCATTTACACGACTATGGTAAAATAAATATTTGTTAAAATAAAAGATCTATAACTGCCTAATGCACAACAAATAAAAAGTCTAGATAAATATGTGTATTTTAGTTATATATTTACAATGCAAACATTCAATATCTCATTTAGTTTAAACTAATTTAGTGCACATAGAGCGAGAACCAGAAAACCTGGGAAAATGGTGGAGCTTGTTACGCACCCCTAACTCTTTCGTAAAAGTAAATTCAACCTATATGAAGCATAAAGTCTGACCCCGCGTCAACCTTGTTGCACCGGCTAGTCCTGTCCAGAGAGCTAGGTACAGTACAAACTGGGACCGGAAAGGATGACCCGGCTTGAAAATTCAAATGTACTACTGCTGCCCGAGTTGTGATTTTGTAATATGCAAGTTGTAAGAATAAATTCTAAACTTTTTAAGTTACAAAACACAAAATCGCAAAAAGACGATTATTCCAGTGTTTTCTTGTTTCACTGTAAATCAATTTAACAAAGTATTATGTTTTATAGGACATTGTAAATGAAGAAGTTTAATTAAATGGTGTAAATCTTAATTGCTTAAACAAAGTGGGTTTGGAAATTTTCTTTATGTTCATGTTTTGAAAGTCCATGTATTTGACTTTAAAAAGTTTGATTATTTTTAAACAGATGTCATTGATCTGAAAGTACCATCAAGATCATCAGAAATAGCCTTGATCTTCAGCTTCTCATGGATCATGTCATCTTCGATCTGATCAATTCTAGGAAAAATATGTCTGTTAAGTTGATTGTCTTTCTTTTGCGGTTTAAAAAAAAATTCATTCTCTTTTCTCAGAGTTTAGAGGGTACCGTTGTGAATCTTGCATGCAACCTTTTAAATGGGGAATTGATTAAAGGGAGTGTTCGCGAAAAATGAAAGGGGTTACAGAGAGATATCGAATTGAACTCGATACTAATCGCTACTAATTCTACTTTTATTTGTTAAGTATATGATTTTTTATAGAATTCATACTTTAAACGAAGTCAAACCTTCTAGAAATCCAACGTATAGAAACAGCTACGTAGAGCAACATGGGGTATTTTCCGGGAGAACATTTTTTATATTTACGAGAATTAAACGTTTTTGTAAAAGCTTATCATTATCATTTTGATAATTTCCATTTTTTAACATACCCCAGACATTAAATGAGCAAATATTTTAATATGTACATTTGTACTGCTCTCTATTGTGTTTAAGGTCCCCCAGATTTTATTATGTACTGACAACATGAATGAATGATTATATGGTTATACATAAATTTGCATGTTACTATTTAAAAAAATATTTTATAAAAATGCTATTTACAGTTTTATTTTTAGAAAAAAAAAGTTCTCAAAAGTATAAAAAAGTTCTCCAGTAAAGCGAATATGATTTCATAAAATTCCGTTTTACCATTTAAATAAAAGAATTTTATGAAAATTACATCTACTTTACACTGATTATTTAATTTCTCAAAAAGATAAAAAATGTTCTCCCGGAAAATACCCCATGTTTCTATACGTTTGATTTCTATAAGGTTTGACGCCCATTAAACGACAATTTTTTGGCGAAATCCCTGAAACGAAAAGTTGTCGTTCAAAGTGCATCATATTTAAATGAAATATTATGAGATGATATAATCAATTTTAAATTTAATTGAAAAACACTCTTTAAGTTTCTGTCAGGCTATTATTTTTATCTATATTTAATGACTATTCTTATAATTAGTCTCGGTACCTTATATTTAGACGCTGTATATTCATTTCTGAGTTTTCTGCTTGTGTTTCTGCAATCTTCAATCTAGATTAAATAATTATAATTTATTGATTGACATAAATACAAAAATATAAATACATATTTTATAGATCACAAAATCTCGATCTTTAGTCCTTACTCCTTCCCCAACTACAAAGTTAGATAGAAGAACAATACATGAAGATACTCTGAGATATAGGGTTCTGCTTCTGTTAAAACAGTTTTATACTAACCTATTCATGAGTTCTCTGATTTGCTTCTGATAAGCCTCCTCCCTAGCCATAGCTTTCTCCTCGCTCACCTCCAGCTGCTGCAGGTTATTTCCAACTACCTACAAGAAGGTAAAGAATATGTGCATGATATTCAAAAAACACCTATTTAACACAGATCTAGACAGTATCTGCATAACACGTACTGGTTCCAAAAATCAGGTAAATATGTTACGATTACGCTTGACTGGACAACCCAGGCTAAAAGTTGCATGGTCCATGCCGGTACTATAACAAGCACTGTTTATTCATGGTCCATGCGGGTACAACATGCACTGTAGTGTATATGCATGGTCCATGCTGGTACAACATGCACTGTTTATGCATGGTCCATGCCGGTACAACATGCACTGTTTATGCATGGTCCATGCCGGTACAACATGCACTGTAATTATGCGGTCCGTTGTCCTTCTCCAGTCAGGCTACCCGTGTAGAGTTGATCTAGTACATTTTATGCAGCAAATCTATCCTGGTAAGATCTAAGTACACTGATTATGCGCAGGTTCCAGATGCAGACAACAAAATCGATAAGAATTTTGCCAATTACTCCTTAAAGAGACTGTTAAGTTAACATAAAAGGGGATACAGGTTAAAGCCTAAAAATTTTAGGAGTTCATCGTGACAAACAATAACCCAGAAGTGCCTAGAAATTTTAAGGACTCTCCTATTATAACTTGAATATAATGGCCAGAAATTCTACCAATGGCAGTCAGTATCTGGTCATGTGGCTCCGTCAATTTCTCAAGACAGGGACAAATAGAACTATTATTGGTCGAGATCAGCACCTAAAATTACTATGCTTTTGCCTACACCCTCATTGATTTTATCTTTACAGTTCCTTTAAATACAGAGGCTCTAAGTAAACATTTTAATGCTTTAGAATATTCATTTTCAGGGCTATTAAAATGGTCAAATCGTCAAACAATTAACAGTAGATTGCAGTATTTTTTTTTTCAATCCAAATCGTCTTCCAATTTTAAATACCTTCAATTCTTCTTCAAGCTCTGAAATCTTTTTTTCTTCATTGTCAGCCCGTTCGGTAGCTCGCGCATTTTCAGTTTCAAGATTGGTATGTTTCCGGCTTATGTCCTCATAATAAACAACAAGATCAGTTTCAAGATTGGTATGTTTCCGGCTTATGTCCTCATACTAAACAACAAGATCAGTTCAGGATTGGTATGTTTCTGGCTTATGTCCTCATACTAAACAACAATATCAGTTTCAAGATTGGTATGTTTCCGGCTTATGTCCTCATACTACACAACAAGAGACAATTAGAGGCTAAACCTTAGTCATATCAACTGAACTTGATATCCCAGCGTAAACATAAAAATAGAAAGATTCCAGAATATCAATTCATTATTTATTAAAAAATTGGCTCAAATATAAACAGGAGGAGAGAAGAAAAACGGCAAAGTGCGTCAAAAATACTTTTCAAAACAGTATATTTTGTAACCAAGGCTGATCAAATATGACATTTTTTATTAAGGAATGGAGTCGTTACCACTCAACAGTCCCTTTAACCATCTAAACTCTTGATAATTTCATTTTGCAAATATGCTAAACAGTCCAATTAACCATCTAAACCCTTGATAATTTAATTTTGCAAATATGTTAAACAGTCCAAATAACCATCTAAACCCTTGATAATTTAATTTTGCAAATATGTTAAACAGTCCAATTAACCATCTAAACCCTTGATAATTTTATTTTGCAAATACGCTGAACAGTCCCTTTAACCATCTGAATTCCAGATAATTTTATTTTGCAAATACGCTAAACAGTCCAATTAACCACCTAAATTCTTGATAATTTAATTTTGCAAATACGCTAAACAGTCCAATTAACCATCTAAATTCTTGATAATTTAATTTTGCAAATATGCTAAACAGTCCAATTAACCATCTTAATTCCAGATAATATTATTTTGCAAATACGCTAAACAGTCCCTTTAACCATCTAAATTCCTGATCATTTTATTTTGCAAATACGCTAAACAGTCCCTTTAACCATCTAAATTCTTGATAATTTAATTTTGCAAATACGCTAAACAGTTACTTTAACCATCTTAATTCCTGATAATTTTATTTTGCAAATACGCTAAACAGGCCCTTTAACCATCTAAATTCCTGATAATTTTATTTTGCAAATACGCTAAACAGTCCCTTTAACCATCTGAATTCCAGATAATTTTATTTTGCAAATATGTTAAACATTCCCTTTAACCATCTAAATTCTTGATAATTTTATATTGCAAATATGCTAAACAGGCCCTTTAACCATCTAAATTCTTGATAATTTCATTTTGCAAATATGCTGAACAGGCCCTTTAACCATCTAAATTCTTGATAATTTCATTTTGCAAATACGCTAAACAGTCCAATTAACCACCTAAATTCTTGATAATTTAATTTTGCAAATACGCTAACCCCTTTAACCATCTAAATTCTTGATAATTTTATTTTGCAAATATGTTAAACATTCCCTTTAACCATCTAAATTCCAGATAATTTTATTTTGCTAATACGCTAAACAGTCCCTTTAACTATCTGAATTCCAGATAATTTTATTTTGCAAATACGCTAAACAGTCCCTTTAACCATCTAAATTCTAGATAATTTTATTTTGCAAATATGTTAAACAGTCCCTTTAACCATCTAAATTCTAGATAATTTTATTTTGCAAATACGCTAAACAGCCCCTTTAACCATCTAAATTTCAGATAATTTTATTTTGCAAATATGTTAAACATTCCCTTTAACTATCTAAATTTCAGATAATTTTATTTTGCAAATACGCAAACAGTCCCTTTAACCATCTTAATTCCTGATAATTTTATTTGGCAAAAAAATAAGAGAAAAAAAATAATTACCTTCCTCTCTACACAGATGAGACAATAAAACATGATCGAACACAGATTTTGAAAGAAAACTATTTTTGAAAAAGTAAATTTTATTTTTATTGGTTTTATTGTCTTCCTGATTCTGCCAGGATAAATCTTGCTTCTTTCAGCTGATTTTCTAGTTCATCGATATCCTCTTCATTTGTGGATATATCCTAGATAATATATATACAATATCCTCTTCATTAGTGGATATATCCTATATAATATATATACAATATCCTCTTCATTAGTGGATATATCCTAGATAATATATACAATATCCTCTTCATTAGTAGGTATATCCTAGATAATATATATATTCTCTTTGTTTTGCTTTAACTTGAAAACTATTTTCCGGGATTCTGTAATTTACAATTGTCTCGAAAAATGTTTATGGACAATTTTAAGAAGTGCTTTTATAATTGAATTAAATTAAATTTGATTGAAAGAAAAACGGCATCTTATTTTTTTTTACAAAAACAGTTCTCGTTTTATTTTCTGTTTTTTACTTCATGTTTTTCTAAATTGCAGTTTGTTTCTTGTTAAATTTTAGTTAATTTTTTATTACTTTTGATAAATGTTTTGCTTCTTGTTTTATATCTATTATTTGTTTCGTTTACCAACTCTAATTGATTCTTGAGTTTAATTTGTTCATCAGCCCGTATTGAAGCACGGAGAAGATCACTAAAAAAAAAAAAAAAAAAAAAATCTGATTTAGTCCCCCCCCCCCCTCCTTCTTAAAAATTTGCAATTTTAACTTAAGTTTCTAAAGAATTACAAAAATATTAATTATTGCAAAATTCGAATTTTGTCTTTTTTTGGTTTAAAATGAATCATGTATTACGAAACTAGTTTTTACAAAACATGATAAATTGTACTTTTTAAAAATGTTTTGACCATGCTTTTCCAAATATGGAAAAATAGTTATGTAGATTTGAAATCTTTAATCCAGGGTTACAACTACAATTGTAAGGTCAAACGTCTGGCGACCCTTCCAAGTCTGTCCGGTCTCAATAGTTGATGCAATTTTCTAAATTTGTAAATCCGACCTACCTTATAGCAGTTGCCAGCCTATTTTCTCGTTTATCCGCCTCATCTTCCATCAGGAATATTCGCCTTGAGAGTGCACCTACATCCGCCTCAGCATTCGCCGCAACCTGAGCATATGGAAAAACAAATCAACTCGCTCCAAAAATAAAAAAATAAACCTAATCAAACTCAAAGATAAAAAGTGTGGCTGGTCTGGTTACGTACCCTTGAAAGCTTGGATTTAAAAATATTTAAAAAATTATTAAAATGTAAGACAATTCAAGACAGAATATCGACATTATCTTCCATATTTTTGATCAGTGTTTTCAAATAATATCAGATTAAGTTTTTAAGTCTTTTTAGATAATATTTCTAACCTTTTCTTTTTCTTCCAGTTTAATAGAAGCATTGAATAGGTCCTCAGTAACAACATCAAATTGAGATTCCTGAGTAATATTTAGATAAAAATATTAATTTATCATGCTCGAGTTCCAATATGAATGCTTAAGATTGACATGATTTCTACTCTTATTGACATAAAACTACGTGAGGACGATCAAGATGAATGAATTTAAGTGTATGCAACTAGATAAATTAAAATATTTAAACCGACGTCTAGATATCTAGATATATCTAGATATCTAGATATATCCAAATATATCTAGATATCTCTAGATATAGCTAGATATATCTGGATATATATAGTTATATTTAGATAAATATATATATATATATCTAGATATCTAGAAATATCTAGATATATCCAGATATATCTAGATATATTTATATAATATCTAGATATATATAAGCTAACCTGAGCAGCAATCTTTTTAAGAATATTCTTGAGTTGATCCTCTATCCGGTCTGCTTCCCTGTACATTAAAATGTTATCATTTAGATCATAAAATCTGTCATGGGTAGAGATGGATAGATAGATGATAGGTAGATAGATATATAGATAGATAGAAAGATATAGATAGATAGATAGATACATAGATAGATAGAAGCATGAATTGATTGCGCATTATTAATAATTTTGAAATTATGATGAAAAACTAGTCCAAATTTAAATCAAAATGACAAAAACTGACAAATGCATCCTAAGCTTTGCTAACCGAGTGCAATAGCCAATTCTATCAAAATAATATGTTTCGATTGAAAATTACCGAATTAGTCTGATATAGGGTTCTAAAACATAATAAAGATTGGTCATACTTGGACGCCGCCAGAGCTTCATCGTCGAATTTGTTTGCCCTGGCTGTCGCTGTATCTGTCTCTGTCGACAGAGAAACCATCTTCTTCTTGATAGCGTCCATCTTGGATTCTGAAAAATGCGGGAAAAATTGTAACGCCTATTTTGTTTAACTGTATTATTTAGTTGTTCACTTTCATAAATATAGAATTCAATTCTCGTTAAATTCTAAAGTTTTTTTTTTACAAATTATTGCTAATCCCATGATCCTATCCCGATTGGGTTATTTTTTCTAATATAAGGCCTGCTCATAAAAAAAAAACTTTAATGGTTAGGGTGCAAGGGAGGATTTAAAAAAAGTTTAAAAAGTTCGTTGGAAAAATGTTCATAAATAAAATATTTTTTCTTTTGACAAATATTAACATGTGACACATGTTTTTACATCTATTTTTCAAGGGCTTTTCAAATATATAAATATATATTAACCCTGTAGATTGATTAGTAAAAAGTTATTAAGCATTTCTGATTTTTTGACCCGTCGTTTGACCGTCATCCACCCTAACCTATGCATAAAAAATATTGGGTAAAAGGAATTTAGTTTTTACCACAAACTAAAATCTTCTGATTCCAATATCTTTGCAATCTTTTGATGCAAACCTTTGATATTTCAAACTTTGATTATTTTATCTATAAGTATTAATAGTTTGAAATACCTAAGGCCACGACATTGAGTTACAAAGACATAGAGATTAGATAATCAGACGTTGTGGCAAAAACTCAACTCCTTTGTTCACAACTATGATGTTGAAAAGTGAAAAGTTTTAACGTAAACCGTTTTTAAGTTATTTAGAAAAAAAACACAAGGGGAGTGGTTAAAAACACCTCTCACCCCCAATGGTGACAGAGTTAACATTTTTCAACAATACTAAACTCGATTGAGCTGTGCTACGTAATACGATTGAGCTGTGCTACGTAATACGATTGAGCTGTGCTACGTAATACGATTGAGCTGTGCTACGTAATACGATTGAGCTGTGCTACGTATGATACATTGACTTGCTAAGTCTTCTAAAAGACTGTGTCTCAAACTAAGTGCATGACGCTAATGCAAGGGTCGATATTCTCCTGAATCTTCAAGCAGCGTCAGCTTATTTTTATCATAAAAAGAACGGTGAATGATAAAAAAGTAAAAATTGGCATACTCCAAAAATTACTTTTTTTGGCTGAAATAAGGGTGATCCACACAGAATGAGCTTTCAGAGACGACTGTACAGAATTCACGATTCTCTGCAACTGAAAACTTGTATTTTTCTTTGCAAAATCATTAAATAAGTCATTAAAAGACTATATTTAAGGATAAGACTTAAGTAACCTTTGGACATACGAGATTTAAGTTACCTGTCCATTTTCATCCTTTAACAATATTCTTTTTTATTTCAAATTTTGTAAGCAAAAGCAACGAACAAAACTGGCGAATATTTGACAACTGTGAACAGTTATATTTGCAGAAGAATTTGAAAATGAAACTCAAGTTTTTGTGAATGAATTTAAACAAAATAAAAGATTTAAAAATCTAAGGTAATTGCTCTGAAACTACTACAAAGCATGAGTATCCTGCTCCTGCTCCAGTAATGCCGGTAAATAGCGGTGGAGTATTTTTTGTTTCCCCGTCTGTTAAACATTCTAGAATTTCTGTCTGTTAAGCATTCAAGAATTTCCGTCTGTTGAGCATTCTAGAATTTCCGTCTGTTAAGCATTCTAGAATTTCCGGCTTTCAGCTTGAGTGGCTGAAGCAAAGATTTAGAAAGACATTTAGAAATTGTAATCTTTATAAGTTTGTTTTTGTTCTAGTATTATTATTTTAACAAAGAACCCCCAAATGGTTTGTAAAAGATAATTTGAAATATTCAATATGATCAAGAAAGTTGGAAGCTTTAACGGTAAAATTTCTGAGAATTATGTCAATTGCTTCTTTAAAACTAATCCTGAACCAAGTTCTTATATATGTAGGTTTCAAATCTACGTTTCTCAGGATATAAAAAGTAAAAGCAAGATAGAGACACAAAGTCCAAGGCTCTGCGGAACTATGTCTTGTCTGCGGATCTATTTCCTGTCTGCGGATCTATGTCCTGACTGCGGAACTATGTCCTGTCTGTGGATCTATGTCCTGTCTGCGGAACAATGTCCTGTCTGTGGATCTATGTCCTGTCTGCGGAGCTCTGTCCTGTCTGTGGAACTATTTCCTGTCTGCGGATCTATGTCCTGACTGCGGAACTATGTCCTGTACGTCTGTGGATCTATGTCCTGTCTGCGGAACAATGTCCTGTCTGTGGATTTATGTCCTGTCTGCGGAACTATATCCTGTCTGTGGAACTATATCCTGTCTGCGGATCTATGTCCTGACTGCGGAACTATGTCCTGTCTGTGGATCTATGTCCTGTCTGCGGAACTATGTCCTGTCTGCGGAACTTTGTCCTGTCTGCGGATCTATGTCCTGACTACGGAACTATGTCCTGTCTGTGGATCTATGTCCTGTCTGCGGAACTATGTCCTGTCTGCGGAACTTTGTCCTGTCTGCGGAACTATGTCCTGTCTGTGGATCTATGTCCTGTCTGCGGATCTATGTCCTGACTGTGGAACTAAAATTTTGCATGGTGGAATAAACAAATTTTTAAAACATACATTTTTAACCCTATTGCTGCTGGGGGGGGGGGTCAATTTGACCCCCCATCTGTAGTTTTTTTTACATAACCCAAAAAGTATTGGTCGGGGGCTGTTGAAATTTTCAGACTTTTCTTACATACCCAAAGCCCTCCCTTTAGGTCTAAAACCGGGCTTTAATACTAACTGCCTGAGTCCACAGGCACACTGCCTGAATGACTGTTTTGCCTGTAACAAACTAAATCTTTGTTTTGACCCACTTTCACTTGTCAGATTTTGATAAAATTTAGCTCTTTGGAAAGCCTATGACATAAGGAAACGGATTGCACAAGTTTTGCGAAAAAAAATTGCAAATGTTTTGCAAACAACCGGTCAAAGGAAATTTGCACATTTTTAGTATTTCTTGATTAAAAATCAGGTTATTTAAAATTTTGCAAAATTTTTTGCATATTTAAAATGACATGGTTAAGGGCTTTTCAAAAATGTATAATTTTTTATTTTTTGGACAAATTTTGCGATAAAAAATTCAAATTTTGCAAATTAGCAAATTTTTTGCAGATTCTAAAAGTAGAGCACAAGAGCTTTCTAATGATGTATCATTTGTCATATTTGGACATAAAACATGGGATTTAGAGGGGGCGGGGTCAAATTGGACCCCCCCCAGCATATCCTGGTTTTCAAGTACCCCAGCTGGGATAGGGTTAAACTTACTTTTTTTTTATTCTTAAAGAAACTGATTTTTTGTCCCAAACTCAAATTTTCGTATCCCTTTATCTTTGCAGCCTTATGCTTTAACTATAATTTAAACTTAAATCAGACAATCTAACTGACTTTAAAAATTGAAATATCAAAGGTGTACAACATTGGTTTGCAAAGTATAAAGGAATTAGAAAATCAATTTTTGAGGCAAAGGCTCAATTCGTATTTCTGATTCTCTATTAACATATTATTAAATCATAATATAAATACAGAGATTTAAATATTTGCATGTTTTGGTTCTGGATAACTGTCAAGAGCGCTGAAACCAAGGTTTTAATGCAAGGAAGGTTATTTCAGAGGTGTACGCATTTTTTTACTGCAGTGTGCTGTCTCTAGGCGGTAATGTAAACACAAGACGGATGTCGAAGCCTGACATGGGATCCATCTTTCACATAAAAAATCAATGAAATATTCTGGTCAAACGAAACTATTATGTGAATTATCAAAATTATCAAAATTTAATGCTTTTAACCTCCTCGGATACTAAACGAACACTGATGCATCTATTCTTGTTTACAAATTCCGCCCTCGCGAGAACTGGTTTCAATATGTACGCAGAGTATACACAACCGCAATTAACTTTCCATGCATTAGTACCTTGGCTGAAACCATGTTTTTACAAACTGATGCAAAAGACTCTACTGGCTAAGCAGGCATGAGTATACTAGGATGTTCCCGTCCTGACTAGAGAGCTGAAAAGATAAATATTAATTAGTGTCCAATCATCAGTTTTCATTTTATATCTTAATCCGGGATTCTGGGATCCTTAGTTCAACCCTCCTCGGTTCATTGATCAATCTATTTTTTATTGATCCATCAATTGATAAATTTTTTGATAACTTATAATTCTAGGAATCATTTGATTTATTGGTCAATCAATTTATTCATAAAATGATTAAACTATTCGTTGATCGATCAATTAATATATAATCGATCATTTAATATAGGATCGATCAATTGATATATGATCGATCATTTGATATTTGATCGATCATTTTATACATGATCGATCATTTTATAAGCAAATTGACATTTTTTTTATCGGAAGAGAAATTAGAAATTAATAAATTCCTTAAAATAATTGCTCTGGGAAGGAAAGGTCAGTAGAGATACCCATGACAGGATCAATCTAAAGAAATTTAGTTGCGGCCTCAATCTTTCTTTGATCGGCCGTCGACGATTTAAACAATTTAATATTAATTATCTGTTAACTGTAGTGAATAACGGAACGATGAACGAGCGTTGTTTTTGGGTACGTTTACGTCCGAGAATCGGTCTTTTAGACACAATGGAGCAGGGTAACTCTTCAGCGATTATAAACATAAAAAATAAGGTCCACGCAATTTATAAGTGTCCATCCATTTCAGGATGTACTCTGGTACCATTTAAACTTTCGTATGAGTACAAAAGCGGATATGATATTCTTTCTTTCAAATCTAAAACTAACAAATTAATAATCTAACACTAATTTTATATTTAAGTTACCAAAAGGCTCTGCTATGATGGGGTTTGCGATTTTTTTGGGGGTCACTTCGCCTTCTAAAAGATAATAATATGATTCGAGTAAAGAACCAATTTTTGAACTTAAAAAAATAAAAATATTAATTAACAATTAACAATTACTGATCAATAAACTGCTATACGTTTTAAGTATCGTCCAGTTCTATTATTAAATGATTGAAGGAAAGCTTATCATTGATCAGAGTAC